GTAACTTTTCTTCCACATCGCAACCTTAGAATTAAAAAATTCTTTCTGACATTTTTGGCCGTTTTGACTTACTTTAGACCACGAGGTCAGAAACCAATGTTTTATCTGCTGGATCAAAATTGTATGATTACACGGAGTCGTTATCAAACTATTAAAAAAATTGCATTCGAAAAAGCTTGACGTGTTGTTGGGAAACTCGAAAATTTTCACGTTGAATTTCTCAAAACTAGGTACTGAGCAGGTAGAACCAGAGAGTTTTGTAGAACTTTGTGATTCTAGGGAAGCGACGTGTCGTCACTGCTTAACGCCACTATGAACGGTCAAGACAGACAGAGGGTCCCCCACTCATCCACATCAATGGGGGTGGCGTCTGTGGCCTAGCGGTTAGGCAACCGGGTCCGTAATCGTGAGATTGCGGGTCCGGGAGTTTGAGCCTCAGCTCGGTTGGACGTCGTGGCCTTGGGAAAGTGGTCCAAAATTAATGAAAGGGAGGGGGTGGATTTAAAAAATAAAGGGGAGGGGGGTACATTCAACCTCATACCCCTGTACTAGTAGAAACAAATCTGTTTTATATTTCTTCAGTGAATAAAAGAAAGAGAGATAATGAAAATTAAGTGATTTTATTAATTTTACTTACTGGATCGCTAACAACAACAACATTAATTTTACTTTGACAACTTTTCCCATTTAGAAACAAACCAGTTTTATTAAAAAATATATATATAAACCAATGTGCAAAAGTTTAAAAAATGGAAAGAAAATTTTGTGTTTTGACCCATGATTCTTATCTCTAGATCTATTGTTAATCGAAGTTTGGCTTGATCTTGCACCATTTTCAAATTTAGAGGCAATGGGGACATGGCTTAGATCTGTAAAATAGATAAGATTTTGAATCTATATCTTGGAAACCAGCACTTCATTTCTGCTATTCCTTTCGAACTATGTATTTTTAGCCAGCTCGCGAAAACCCTCGCAGCCAGTGCTGAGCGGGCCACGCCGAGAGTAGGCCAGACCTTGATCTACTTAGTCTAGTTGGCCTAAGTACTGGGTTCTGGATTTAGTAAACGGTCGCGCATCGTGATA